TAAATTCTAAAAATATTATAATAATTTTATTATTCAAAATAAATTCTTTAATTTATTATATTTATCCTGAAAATACTATTTATCCCATAATTACTATTCATTCAATATTATTCATCAAACCCACGCAGATAAATATTAACAGATCTAAAATTAAAGATAATTCATAATAAATAGAAAAATTAGTTCTGAGCAAGCGGGATCTTGCCTCGGGGATTTGTCGAACGAATCGACGCTAACGGCGCGGGTCGGATCTGACGCGGTGGTGCGCGACGTCGGGGAACTCTGACGAGGGGCTGCGGGATCTCAGCGACGCTCGTCGACGACGAGGGGGCGGCCTGGGACTGAGCACGGCACGGTGGCGTCGTGAGGGGAGGTACTGCATAGGGGGATGAGGCGAACGGGGGAGGAGGTTGACGGTGGCCTCGGCTCAGGTGGAGATCTGGGAACGAGGGCCTGAGCGTCTGCGGTCTAACTGGAGAAGGAGCTGCGACGCTGGAGCGGCTCAGTGAGGCGCTTGGCTTGAACCGGCTGTCTGGGTGGGCAGGCGGACGCGGGACCGCGGCCAGCGGTAGGGGCGGACGTGGTGGATTCCAGGGCGAGGCGACTGCTGACTGAGCGGGACTGGCGATGTGGATGGGCGACGGACCTGGGGCTGAGCTGTCGACGAGAGTGAGCTGCGGTGTGGAGGCGTGCGGGGTTTGTGGTTACGGGTGGCTGGGGCTGGGCGTCGGGCGTCGTCGGAGGAGACGCGCGAGGAGGTGGGGCTGGCGGGTCGAGCTCGGGCTGATGGTGCACTCGCGGGAGAAGGCTGGCGAGGGGCTGGGGTTGGCGTGTGGCCTGGAGTTCGAGGTGGGTTGAGTTGAGAGAGAGAATGAAAGAGAAGAGGGAGAGAGAGAATGAGATTACAGGGGTGGCGGTGTGAACACGAGGGGAAGAAAGAGAGGGGTTTATATAACATATATATATATTATATTAGGGTTAGGGTTAGGGAATTTAAAACAAAAATAATTAAAATAAATAATTACAGGTATTTAAAAATTAAACTAATTACATAATAATTATCCACAAATAAAAACATACATGTTGTGCTAATACAACAGTTGATACGAAATAGTTGAAATATACCCATATTGTATAATTAAACAAGAATAATTAATAATAAAAATATTTTTGCTAAAATTTAAAGCTAAATAATTATGGGACAATTACGTACACAGTAAAACGTACTAGTTATACTAATACGATAGATAATATGTAACAATAGAAATAATACAATAAATTATACCAAAATCACGTAATTAATAATACTATGTATTATGTGAAATAATTTGTAATAATATTAATAACACAATATATTATTTAAAATAACACATAATAGTACCGATAACACAATAAATTAATTTCAAAAATTTTTACCACATAAAATAAATTTATAAATATCAAAATTATTTAAATAAATATATAATCAGATTTTTAAATCATAGAAAATTGTAAAAATTGAGAAAAATACAAATACTCTTTTAAAATAATAAATAAATATTTTAAAATACTAAAAATTATTTTAATTAATATCAAGATTTTACGGTCATTATAGTTATTAATAACACCATAATCCATGCCTTACAAGTGCGGGGAATTTTATCCCGAATCCTAAGAAGGGTTAAGTCAACGCCTAACACGCGTTGTTGGTTTAGTCTTTCACCGATTGAAGAAGACACTAGAATCCTCATCTGGGGAATTTGATCCCGAAGTCTAAGTAGGGATAAGTCAGCGCCTAACACGTGTTGCTGGGTAGTCTATTCCTGTAAGAAAGAAAGAGTCTACATATTCAATATCGTAGCACTAAGAGAGTTAACTCTCATAGCACAATTTTTGACCCAAACAAGTATGCGTATTAATTTAACAGAATTTATAAATGTTTGTTTATAAGTTTATTCTGAATCACTTTTTTTCTCCTGTAATGTCAATTGTAAAAGCGACATGCAATATTGATAATGTGATCTAATCGGTTAAGAATATGTAAGAGTATATTCTGCCGAGAGTCTCAAAGCATTAGGGCCTCATTTGGTAAAGTGTTAAGGAAGAGGGATTAAGGAGAATGATTAACATAGTTAACCTACTTGATAATCTGAAAGACTAAACTATTAACTCATTATATAAGTTTTATTTTAGCCATTGTGATCATTTTTAGTATTTGAGAATAACAAGGATTTTGACTATTTTCTTTATAATTAGAAGGGTTAACTCTTAATCCTTCTAAATAGGAGTATTAACAAACCTCTTATTTTAATGGGTTGACTCATTTTAATCCCTCTAGAGAGATTAGCTTAACACTTCTATATTTTTTATGTTTGGCAAATTATGGAGGGTTAACTCACTTTAACCCTTGTATAGATTTTTTTTTATTTCACGGGTTAAAAAGGGGTTAAGTCTCCTTAACCCTTCACTTAACCCTTTGCCAAACGATAATTGGCTGCCAGAATTGGATCCCAAATAATAAATATGTGAGAGCCAATAATCTTTTTTCTATTGCCAAATAAGAAGTATAAGGATGTGCACGAGATATCTAATTAAGAGGATTCAAATCCTGATTATGAAGGGATTGTTCTTGAACAAGGCACTACTTGATAAATTAACGGCTGTTTATTAATGGTCCCTTGATGATAGATTAACGGCTGTTTATTAACTTGATCCTGTATTAAGATAAACAAGGAGGGATCTCTGAAGAAGTAGCGAGAGAGAGTGCAGGAAATCAGCAGAAGAACGGCCAGGCAGACTGGCGGTCGACCACGAGTCAGCAGCGGTCGACCGCGAACGTACACAGAAGGGCACTAGGTTTCGGAGCTGAAGGCGGTCGACCGTGGTGGTCGACCACGAGGACCTTATAGGCGATTATCTCTCGGGAAATCAGTTCGGTCGACCGTCACGGTCGACCGCGAGTTGACTGTAGGATTTTGGTTCTCTGTCGGGGGTGTTCAGTTGACCGCGAGCTTCATACAGTCGACCGTGAAACCTTCGCGGTCGACCGCCACGGTCGACTGCAGATGGAGTTTAGGCTGGGCTTTGTTTTTGACCCGGTTTATTCGCGGTCGACCGCCACGGTCGACTGCAGATGGAGTTTAGGCTGGGCTTTGTTTTTGACCCGGTTTATTTCTGAGTTGATATATAACCCTAAACCTGATTAATTAGGGTTAGGTAAGGATGATTTTGAGCAGTCTTTGAGAGAGGATTGCTACATCCAATTATGGGAGATTTGTGAGAGATCTAGAGCTTTATTTTAGGGTTTGATCGGTGAGATTTATAACTCTATTTGTATTTTCTTGATTTCTAATAGTACGAACTCCTCCTTCCCTGCCCTGTGGACGTAGGCAACTTGTCGAGCCACATAAATAGTTTGTTCTTGCTGTGATTGTGATTTGCTTATTGGTTGTGGTTTATCTCGAGTTATTGTTTGTGTCCCACTCGAAGCTTACGTTGCGCACAACAATTGGTATCAGAGCTTCAGGCTTGTTCGAAGGATTCGGTGAAGATTCCTATCTAAAGAGTTAAATCAACAACATGGGAGAAGCAAGCACAACGGGATCGTCTCTTATGAAGACGATATATAGTTTGAGCATCAATAACATGAAGATTGATGTTCCGAAGTTCGACGACAAGATCAATTTTGGATTGTGAAGGTGTAAAGTGATGGACGCCTTGGATGCACAGAATTTGGAGGAGACTCTTGAGTTGCAAGAGAAAACTACTGATATGGAAGTTAAGGTTTGGAAGAATATGAATAGTAGAGCGTGTGGAGTTATTCGGTCATGCTTGACGCCAGATCTTATTTATGATGTGATGAACAAGACGTCAGCGAAGAAGATGTGGGAAACACTCAATGAAAAGTATCTTACTAAGAGCATTGAGAATTGGCTTCACTTGAAGAAGAGGTTTTACCAGTTCAAGATGAAGAGGGGAGTTTCCATCACGGAGCATGTTAATAACTTCACGAAGCTACTTTCAGACATACCCAATGTGGATATCATGGTTGAGGATGAAGACAAGGCGATGCTATTTTTGTGTTCGTTGCCTGAGGATGATTATGGTACCTTTGTTCTCACTATGATTAATAGAAGAATTACTATTAGCTACAAGGAGGTGACCTTAGCGTTGGTGAATTATGAGTTGAGGTATTGATGAGTCCTCTGAGAAAGGATCGGGAGATGCATTAGTAACGGGAAAGCTGAATGCCCAAAGTTAGACCGAGCCGAGAAGAATAAGGGGAAAGTTGTACAAGCTTCAGAGGTGAATGTTATCAAGACTCACTACAACAAAATACAACATTGCAGACGAAACAAAAACGTCAGCAAAGGTTTAAAAAACGTCGGGAAAAATCTTTCCTGACGCAAAATGCAGCGTCGCTAACGCGTCGCCAAAAGTGCGTTAAGGAAAGTATTTGGCGACGCAAATACACTATGTCGCCAAAAGTACACTTTTGGCAATGCGTCATGCATCGGGAAAAGTACATCTTTAGCGATGCATAATATTTTGCGTCGGCAAAACGTGTACTTTTGACGACGCATGCAGCGTCGGCAAAAGCTATGCGTCGACAAAAGTATAGCTTTTAGCGATGCAAAATTGTTCGTCATTAAAAATTATACTTTTGGCGACGCAAGTTAGCATCGGCCAAAGTTTAGCTTTAAGCGACGTAGAATAAAGCCTCGCTAAAAACTATACCTTTGGCGACGCAAGATAGCGTCGCTAAAAGATATTATTTTTGGCGACGCCATATAGCGTCGGCAAAAGTATTTTTTTCAGTCGGTAAAAAGTATATTTTTATTAACACTAATTTGCATCGCCAAAAGTAATATCTTTTCTGTCAACTACACTGAACCTAAACATCCACAACAAATTTGCTCCCATTCACATCAACAAAGAAACCAAACATCAAATTATACTCCAAACAAGTTGCATATTAACAACTAAAATAATATCGGTGCTTATTTTCACAATCAATAAAATGAAACAAATAATAACATTAGTAAATAGATTTAAACGCAATTCTATTAAACAAATAACAAGTGTTTGACACATGTTTTATTAACAAATCCAACCATCATGATTAAGTAGGCTTGAACAATAAAGACTACAGAGAACTCATGTCTTATCAACATTGCAAGCATTTCCTTCATCATGTCCCTAGCTTCTTCCCACCTTCACCATCCATCTCCAACTTCTGTTATGTAGCTGCAATGGAAAGAAATGTACTCAGGAAGGTAAATAAAAAGTTAAAATCAAACACAAAAAAGTGTACTCAGTGGATTATAAAATGGATCATAATTCATTAAATTTAACAAACACTTTGGATTATATCCACATGAATTATAAGCCATTTGGGGTTTATAAGCGAAGTGGATTATAATCCAAAGTTGCCAAACATGGCCTATGTACTGCCGATTCTATCCAATGAATGACTGAAACCACATCAGCAGACATGCATATGGCGTATGAACACAGAACAACTGCAACCACAGCACGTATGTGGTAGACACACCAGATTATTTTCGGTGATACTGCTATAAATGATTCAAGGTCAAATTGTACTGCTAAAAATTGTGCACTGGATAATCAAAATCCAAAAACAAATTCTCACTTACTATCTAATTTACACATAAACTTGTCTTTCTAAAAACCTCACCAGAGACAATCTTAACCCAATTCTAAAACGTGAATAATTTTATAAATTGTTGTATACGAAAAACATGAATATGTTTTCGATTTGTTTTCTCCACATAAATACGCATTACTTCAGTAAGAACATCAAATCCAAATTCAGTATTACAAAGATAACATTTCCACCATCTAAATACGCATTACTTCAGTAAGAACATCAAATCCAAATTCAGTATTACAAAGATAACATTTCCACCATCAGATTCAGGATATCCACTCAGGGTTTGTCAAATCCAAATTCAGTATTACAAAGATAACATTTCCACCATCAGATTCAGGATATCCACTCAGGGTTTCTTTGTAATGATCAGCTATAGCAAAATTATTGTTTCCAACATTAAATATTGCAGCGTCCAATTTGTAAATCAGTTTATCCCAAAAATTCTAATCAGCACCTTAAATATATTCATTTGTTATACACTTAATGCTAAACTACATAATTTTATAATGCACATTTTACAACTATAGAATCATTATGATAGCATTAATATGTCAGTCTCCAAAATTATTTTTTCCTATCTAAATGTATAGGAATCAGCTTTACGCACTTCACACCCAAATTGATGTACCACTTAAAAGTGCAAGTATGATGAGAAGCAAAATGTCAGATAATCTAAAGAAAAAGAGAGTTTAAAAGAAATGAGGTCATTAATGCTAAACAATTAAGCATGTTATAGCATAAGCATGTGCAGAAAGATGAAGCGAAAATATTTACTTCAACGAATTGGATCAAAAGCCTACAAAATGGAACATACAATTATTCAATAGTGTGCTTTAGTGACTCAACTATTTTCTTCTCTCTTACCCTTTTGATTGGCCAGTAGGCTGCAACTATCTCATTACATAGAAGTGAATAAAAATTTGCTGGAAGATCTTAGTGAAGGTCATTTTTGGGTGTACATATATCATATCATATTCATTAAACGAAAAACATACACATGACAAAAATAAATTTTGTGCAGCTTTTGTAAATTGTGCATTTCTTCGTATTTTGAAAAAACAATTCCAAACATTCAAATCCTTAAACTTGGAACTATCTATTAGCATATGGACTGCCACAACATTTTCACAATTTTAGTAAGTTCTTTGTAGTTACCTTCAACTTATCTTGAAGTTTCTCGGGATTGTCATTCTCATTATTTAACTCTGATGAAGACATTGACGCCACAGCAAGATGTCCAATATAGTCCTCAAAAAGCTCACTTCCAAAGAGAAGGGTAAAAACGGCAGTAGCATCTAACATGTTAGCCCTGAAGAATGTGGAGCCATGTATTAAGATTGTTATGCTGAATTCAAATAAATCAATAACTAAAGAGAAGAAGTTTTCTTTCTCTTCAACATATATTAGCGTACAAATTTTCAAAAAGTTACTACCTAGAAACGCCAATTGTACCACTCCCATCGTAGATTTTCCTTTGCACCGGATCACTCAAGATTTGATATGCTTCTCCAAGGACCTGCATTATGAGGTAATTTTTCAGTAATATGTATTCAATAAAAATTAAAAAGTTAACGCCCTGCTATTCTTGGAAGATATAGATTTTTATTTAAAACAAAGTAGAGTTGTGGTCAAAGAAACATATTAGACTTGCCTGAAATCTCTCAGCGGCTTGAGGATCATCCGGATTTTTGTCAGGATGGACCAACCTTGGCGGTACAAAAATTATTAAATATTACTATTCATTGTATATATCATCATGAATTTCAAATCTAGAATAAAGGAACATAAAAGAAAATTATGAATTACTCAATTGCGTGATACATGTCAGTACTCAACAGAATCCTATTTATCTTCGCACTACAAGTAAGCAAGCTGGCTCCCCTCCATGAAGCATTCATAATTTCAAATTTTTTGCGTGCAAGTCAATTTTGCTACTTCAAACTACAAAACACCGCGTGGATTTGCTGCTAGCCAATATCAGTGGTATCAGTAGGTTTCAATACATGAGATCAACATCTTTTTCTTCTTTTTGGAGAATAAGGGCCTCAACCCATTAATACATGAGATCAACACGCTTTCTATCTGATATCAAAGAGCCTATATGTATCATTATTGGCATCTTCCAACTAAATCAGACCATGCTTGAGATTTGATATGATATAGTCATACACATTGTTATCAGCTGATATTCCAAACATTGGTGCAAGGAGACATAATTGCACTATTGTCTAAAGCTAAAAATTTGAATATAAATTGTTTCAGTGTTCTATAACAGATCATCGTAAATAAGCAAAAGTGATGGATATATACAAATTTAACATTAAGAAGTCTAAACTCGGCAACAAAATGAAATTCTATAGGATACCCATCTCAATTTCCTTTTTCGATAAATCTCCAGAAGTAGAATTGGGGTCTATGTGCATATCTCAACATACACACAAATATCCACTACAAATTACTCGCAAGATGCAATTTTGACGAATACCCACCTCCTGGAATCTATAGAAGCAACAAAAACAAGCAACAAGATGCAACTTTGTACCAAATCATCAAGAGCATGCCTCTGGAATCGCGAGCACTCACTGAACTCTCCATTGTTAGCATTTACAACAAGCATTGATGGAAGTACCTAAAACATGAAACTACAAACCAGCTCACTAGTGTTCCTTATGTGAGACTTGACATGTGAATAACTCTAAGAAAGAAACATAACATTAGAAGATAATTTTATAGTACATGCAATAATCTGGGATCACCACATTTAGGGAGGCGGATAGTCTAGCAGCAATTGACTGCGCATTCTTGGATATTATGCAGAGCCTTTCACCAAGATATGCAATGACAAATGACACACAGGGAAGAACCTGTAATCACAATATCAAGACATCATTGGACTCATAAAACTATATAAATTCAAAAGCGAAAGACTCAAATATCATGGCTTTTCCCAACCACTATAGAATGCGTTTGGCTTTGGCATATTCTCTCTGTTTCAAGTCACCTCTGAATCAAGAAAATAAATAACAACAAGAGTATAACAAAGGAAGGTAAAAACTTAAGCTACCAGACGTGCTAATCTTGCGAATGGCATGATTGATTCTATCCGCGACATAAAAATTATCCTTCCCGTCAATTGGGAAGCTCCGAGGCTTATCGAACATGGCAGCCATCTTATCCCCATCAGAGAACCCAGCAACACCTGATCCCCATCGGTGGAATCGAGGAGGAGGAGATCGGTTGATCGATGACGTGGGAGGAGAGAAAAGGGGCAGATTTGGGCGGAGATGAGCCTGTATTTGTGGAAATCGATGACGGTGGACACTGAGTAGCCTAATTCCAACTCCAACTTACAGGATCAAGGCTTTGAGGGATGGGTTTCCATTGGGACTGGATGAAGGGGCTGAGTGAATGAGATGGGAAAAGAGCGGATCCTTGGTAGAACGCTCGATAAGAGGGGGTGGGGGAACGGGGTCGGCGGGATGGGGCGGCTGTGATCAGAGGAGAGAGAGAGAGAGAGAGAGAGGAGATTAGGGTGGAACAAGAGAAATGATTTTGGAGGCGGCCGACGCAGATGAATAAAACAGCGTCGTTAAAAATAGAGCTTTTAGCGACGCTAACCTAACACGTCGTGAAAAAGAGACTTTTAGCGATGCTAACCTAACACACCGCAATAAATGCATACTATTAGTGATACCAACCCTAAAACGTCGCTAAAAATATATGTTTTTACCGACGAAAATGAAAAACGTCGTGAAATCCATATACTTTTACCAACGCTAATTTAAAACGTCGCAAATAATATACACTTTTAGTGACGCTAATTATAAACGCGGGAAAAATATATATTTTGCTGACGCTAACTAAAATCACCGGGAAAAACATAATTTTTGGTGACGTATTTAACCATGCATCGGGAATAAGCGTTGGAAAAAGTATAATTTGTTGTAGTGACTAGTGGCAACAATTCAGATTCAGATTCTTCGGTCTATTCATTATCCGGACTACCATCAGTTTGTGATGCCGACTCTACGGAGTGGATGTTGGATTCGGGTGCTTCTTACCATGTTTGCCCTAGGAGGGATTGGTTCTCTAGCTTTCAGGAGTTGGAAAGAGAGGATGTCATGCTCATGGGTAATGGATATGCATGCTCTATTGGTGGTATTGGTACTATTTGAATTAGCATGAGTGATGGGATTATGCGAGAGTTGGATGATGTAAGGTTCGTTCTACATTTGAAGATGAACATCATTTCACTTGGAGGTTTGGAGGCAGCAAGCTATAGAGTGACCTTGGTGGACGCACGCTTGAAGGTCACATTAGGGTCCATGATTGTGATGAAGGGCGTTAGAAGGTGTGTTCATTTAGGCATTTGGGGGCCTTCCAAGGGAGCATCATTGGGAGGTAATAGGTATGTGGTTTTCGTAGTTGGGGATTGCTCTAGGCATTAGTGGGTTGCAACCAAGTCTCTTTGGTGTGAAAATCCTAGAAGCACGCAACAGAAGGAGGAAGTGTATTGGTAGAAAGATAACCCGACGTTCTGATTATGGTAGGGGTTCTTTCTTGCATTTGTGCAGAGCTCACGGAAATAGGAGACACTTCATTGGTGTGGAAACTTTGAGGTGACGTGATGAGATGGCAGATTTAGGGAGCTGTTCCTTTCTGGAGGAGGATCAGCATTTGATGTCGAGCATTAGCATTGGTGTGTGGGCTACGACACGTTTGGACCATCTTATGTATAGGTTGCCGATTGCTGCATGTAGAGATATAGGATCTGGTAGAGCAGCTTTAGATTTTGGGTTACGTCAGATATTTGGCTACCCAGCATTTGGTCACATCGTGGATGTGAGATTTGATCCGATAGCACATTTGGATTCAGAGACATATTTGATTATCAGATATTGGCTTCTGACTTTATTCTGAGCAGGTATGTCACGTTTGACTCTCGGCAGGTGGAGAGTGGTGATCAGATCTTGGGACATCGCAGTGGGTGGAGAGTGATGCTATTCCATGTTGGGTGGAGACTCCAGATCATACTGTATCATTTGGGATTCCAGCTGATGTGACACAGATTGGGAATCGTGTTTATTTGGATACAGATGATAGGTTGATTGATTCAAGTGCAGCTGATAGATGGAGTCTGGATATAGCCATTGGTTCATCTCAGGTGGAGATGTTTGGATTATTTCAGTTTGGGGCCATTGGAGGTGCTATCAGCCATAGACTTGATCGTGATGTTGGAGAAGAGTTGTAAACTCTTCTAGTGGATTGAGGCCTTTGGAAGCCATTTGGATGAACTACGTTCGGCTTGATTCCTTGGGCAAGAGGATACGTAGGCAGCCTTTCAGATACAGCCGGTTTGATTTCGATGGGGGAGTTCGTTTTCAGCTCTAGTTTGGATCCCAGACTTGTTGTAGAGTGAGTCTGTTATCATGGGAAGTTTTCACAACGTCCTGGATGCAACAAGTGAGATTATTGGATGATTTGGTGTAGGCTCAGTTTTTTTTATAGAAACATTCACCAAGATGGAGAATTGAAGAAGTGGCGAGAGAGAGTATAGGCGATTATCTCTCGGGAAATCAGTTCGTTAGACTGCCACGGTCGACCGCGAGTTAACTGTAGGATTTTGGTTCTCTGTCGGGCGTGTTCGGTTGACCGTGAGCTTCATACGGTCGACCGTTAAACCTGCGCGGTTGACCGCTACGGTCGACAGCAGATGGATTTTGGGCTGGGCTTTGTTTTTGACCCGGTTCATTTCTGAGTTGATATATAATCCTAAACCTGATTAATTAGTGTTAGGCAAGGACGATTTTGAGCAGTCTTTGAGAGAGGATTGTTGCATCCAATTGTGGGAGATTTGTGAGAGATCTAGAGCTTTATTCTAGGGTTTGATCGGTGTGATTTGTAACTTTATTTGTATTCTATTGATTTCTAATAGTAAGACCTCTCCCTTCCTTGCCGATTGTGATTTGCTTATTGGTTGTGGTTTATCTCGAGTTATTGTTTGTGTCGCACTCGAAGCTTCCGCCGCGCATAATAATCTACTCTTGGAAGTTCATTTAATATTGTAATGCACACGACGATTGGTTGAATAGTCTACTACAGAGCATGTTTTTTGAGAAATCACATGATGTTTTATATGTTACCTCTCATTGAAGTGTTAATGTAGAAGGAATTTTGATTCTTTCTACTGTAAGAAAATAGTGGAGAGATCATTGTCTTAATCACGATTATGATTATCTAATAGATGATTATGAATTAAGCTCATTCCGAATTTACAATAGGAAAAAAATCACAACCATCCATTAATTATCAACAGTCTTGATAAAGTAATGATTCCTCCATTACATTTTTTTGTAGTGGAGATGGTCCGAATCAATATGTGTAGAAAATCATATTGTTCTACAATATTTAAAAAGTTGTTTCTCTAAGCAAATATTAAGAATATCACAGTGAATAAGTGACCGAACATGTATAGTATGAGAGTATTTGGTGAAACCGGTCCAAAGAGATTGATCATCAGATCCTTGGTTTTCATGATTTGTTCACAACTTTAAGAATCGATATTCCAATATTTTTTGTAGTGGAGAGGATCCGAATCCATATATGTAGAAAGCCAAATCGTTCTACAATATTTAAAGAGTTGCTTCTCCAAGCAAACATTAAAGATATCACAGTTAATTAGTGACCAAACTTGTGTAGTATGAGAAAGTATCTCGTGAAACCGGTCTGAAGAATTTGATTATCAGACCACTAGTCTTCATGATTTGTTCACAACTTTAAGAATCGATATTCCTTTGAAACATACTTAGTGTCGTGGATCAGATCCGCTAGATAATTTCACGAAGAATACAAAAAGATTTATCTGCAATTAACTATGTATCTTATTGGAGTTATAATAAGTGTAACTTAAAACTTGACATTGTAGTGGGAAAGTTTAGTCCCACATAGGAAATGGAATAGGAAGAAATAGCGTTTATAAGCCTTTCCCTTCTCTCTTATTCCTAGAAGAAAATAAGGGTTATGCTCTATACCACACACGTGCGCGATGGTAGGGTCGGGCTCGGGTTCGGGTCAGGTCGGGGGGCGCGCGCACACGACCTGCGGACACGAATGCAGCCACGGATTGAGGCTCTTAACCTGCTATATTTTGTTTTTTGCTAATGGGAATAATTAAAACATAATTAATATGATACAGATTAAAAACATGATTAATGTTTTGTAGCGACTAGCATGAAACTGCGGATTAGTATTTTGTAACGGCTAGCATTAAACTAGGGATTAATATTTTGTAACGGCTTGCATTAACGTGATTAATATTTTGTAACGGCTAGCAATAACATGATTAATATTTTGTAACGGCGAGTAATTAAAATGTATTAACTGCGGATTTATGAATTTAAATGACAAAACGGCTAGCGGGATTTGTGGGATAACGGACGCGTCTCTCAACCTATATAAAGACCGGTATATACGAGGGTTAACAAGAAAATTTTTGTGAAGAAATAGATCTCTTCTCTTCCTCTTCTATTTTCAAAAATATTTTTCTACTATTACATTTTCGCTGGTTTCCTAAAAGTCGAGGAGAATTCGCAAAGCCTTCTTGAAGCTCGTGCCGACGAGAAGGAGGTCGCCTGACCGAGGGTCGTTGTATCTTCAAGAACTATTGTCGCGTAGCCCTGTACGAGAAGGGGCAATTAGATTCTTGGGATAGTGCCTTGCACGTACGCCTCGATCATCAGGCCGTATTTCTAACCTTATTTATTTTCGTTTTAATCATTTCTTATATCTGTGTTATAATATTAACCCATCATTATCTAAAAATTATTAAGTTTTTAAACTAATTTACATTTTAATTATTGTCTAAATAACAAATATTCCCAACAATCAAAGAGTTTAATTACGCTGTTTAGAATAATATCACGTTTAGCATGTTTTGTGCTTTGTTTCGTATTATGTTTGTTATGTTAATGCAGTCTACATCTTATAAAACCGACATGCTACACTTGATTCAG